AGATCTCCAAACACAGCTGCTTTTCCAGTAGGAGCACAAAGTAAAACCTTTGCGGAATCTGTTGCCCCAGGAAGTTTATTTGCTCGCCAAGTTATAGACTGAAATATTGTAGGAATTAATCTGCTTTTTCCCACTCCGGCCCCTCCACCAAAATATTCATAAAATGTTTTTTTGGCTGCTGTTGAGAGACCGGGTAAGCGAGCAAAGGTTATCGTCAGATACTATCGGAGGAAGTCTTATAAGAGGAAGTTCGCCATTTGAATCATTTTCATCTTGGAGTACATTTACGTTTTGGCCGACGTCGGGGACTGCCAAAGCTCTGAACTCTTCATCAAGGTATTGAGAGGCTGGCCCTTCGGGAGGCTGGCCCTTCTCTATCCACATTTTGCAGATCTTGAAGAACTCTCTCTAACTCCATGTCGTCAAACACATCATACTGCTTTTTATTGCGTTTAATAATTTCAAAATTATTTCTTAATGTGCTTTCATTGTCGTTTGAAATGAGTTCCGTCTCTTCACTTCTGCATGGGAAAAAGAGCATTACGTGCTCTCTAAAATAATCTGATGGAGAAGAGCTTAAACTGAAACGAACCCACCTAAGAATTAGGACATGATTACGTCTTTTTACCCTACCAGTCCCATCCAGCATTTGGAAACTTTGTGCAGCAACGTTATTTTCTTCATCTGCATCAAAGTCGATTGGTTCGTCATATTCATCGTTTGACTGTTCTGATCGTGCATTTAGCTTGGAAAATTTGAACCAAGCCGCAAATTCCGCAAGACAGCGATTCTAGTTGTTCATGTCTTTGCACGTATCGATCAAGTAAATTTCGCTCAAAAATATCTGCTGAGTTTGCGGGAAGCTGTTCTAATTCTCTGTTAGATCGGACTATCCGGACCCTTTTATCTGGATGGCAAGTGTTAATAAAAACATTCCCTTCACTAGCCTCAGACAGGTGTAAACTTAAAATGTTGTATGCAGCTTCTTGGGCAGATATTTCTGTAGCGTTAATAAACTTGCTCCCTAAATGCTGCAGTTTTCTTTTGACGGAAACACTTCCATGGCTTATTTCTGTCATTGCTTCTCGAAGCAGTTGCGACACGCCACGGTTGGATTTATTTATGTAGTTAATTATATAACTACAACAGGCGTAAGCATCTAGAATGAATTTAATATCCATGTTTGCTCTATGCAAGCCTAAAATATTTCTATATTAAGCATTTAGCAACCTATCAGAAAATTGGCGACGAAGAAATACTTGGGGCTTTTTTAAGCTAGACCGAATGGCGAACTTGTATTCCTCATATGAAATTTCAAGATGGCTGAAAAAAAAATATTCAAAATTATTAAACATGGCCGATTCTTCTTCGGAAACAGACTTTAGGAGCTCTTTAACTTTTTTAAATATTTCTTTATATTCTTGAACGTTGGATTCGTTTTCTTCAAATGGATAAAAAACCAGAGTTTCAGGCATTGGTGGGTATGGCATATTAAAACGGCAGAATTGTTGTCCTCGCAGTTCCCTTAAACATGAAGCACTGTGCTTATAGCGCTGATATTGAATTACTTCATGAATTTCAGGATCGTCCCCGCTGATAGTAAGGAAACGATCAATAAAGCGGGTGACCTTTTCGGCGTTATAGGGTCCTTCTAGCTTTGGGGCACCAGAAAACCAATACATGCCATATGAGTGCGGCGATCCTCTGTGCTGGAACTCGATCCTCCAATAATAATGGACGAGTTTTAACTCACCAAATATCTCGGAGCTTTTAAATAATTTAATTAATTGCCGGAACCTGTAGTCGAAGTACCGGGAGCACGTTACGGGGCAGATCGAATTAATCTAGCTTTTTCGGCGCTAGAAAGCGCAGCTGCCTCTTCCTCAGTAATGTCTCTGCTATCCAATAAAGAGATAGAATAACTAAGAGTTCGTTCCATTTAGATTCAGCAGAAGAGAGGGTTATGAAGAATGTAGGCAAACCGAATTGTCTTATCATGGCTATAACTTTTTTTTCTGCCTCCCAGTGTGTTGGAGCTGAACGGAGGCCTTTTAGAATGTGAAATCCATCGTCATGTTGCAAGACTGTCAACAAGTGAATTATCCCTCACATTTGCAGCAGTTACTGCACCTGATTTTTTTCGTAGGGCAATGGAAATATAACTTTGAATTCGTTGCATTTCATAAAATTTGTACATATAAAGGACTTTGGGCACTACTGCGCAGCGACGGTCGTAAAAGCGAATTTGCGATCTTGCTTTTTTTTGCATAGGTCGAATTCCCCTTAAATATTTCGCCGCAAGAAATAGTTGGGAAGGAAAGTTCTTCTGCGTCGTCGTCAAGGGTTAAATTTGTTAGAATGCGGCCTTCTCCGGGAGCCATAGCAATACGCTGAAGTCCGCTATCATCGTTTTCTAATAGGGTTTCATGACCTCCGGGATTTAAATCACCTTCATGCTCGTCATTTTATTGAGAATGAGAATGTTGAAGAGGAAGCTCTTCTACGACTTCTCGGTCAGATTTATCTGCGATGAAAGGTATCTCTTCTTCGGCTCCCATTTGATTGAGCCAATCACCGTCAAAGGAAATGTTGTGCTTTCTGTAGAGCTCAGTGTTAACCAAGTATTGCACAGCTTGAATAAGCCGAGCGGGTCGAATAGCTTCTAACTTTCTTTTAAATGAACCTGGATTACATGGGTCGAATCAAAGGTGCGCGGGACTACGCTTACAGTATCAGGTACTGAAATTGGAACATTGACTACAGCGCCTCTTATTCCGCATTGCCTTTCATATCCAAGGGATATAATGCGCCGTACAAAACTTAGTTGGTCCGTCCTTAATGTTACGAAGACATTCTTCCCTTGCCGTAGCTCGACTCCTCCGTCGCTGGCGTTCCCGTTGGTCCTCTCGTTCATCCTCAGAAAGTTGTGCCCTTGCAGCAATATTGCGCTGTGACTGTCTGGAAGATTCCGTGTCGATTTTGTGAACTCGACCTGTATGTGAGAAGTCGCTCGTCAGCCATTTCCTGAATTTGTTGTTCCCGAAATCTTTGCTGAAGTCTTGTGTTCCGATGATGCACTGTGATGGTCCTTTGCTTTTGTGTCCTAGTGATAGGGTTGTTCCTAGTGATCCTATGAGCTGCTGCGTCCCGTAAACGCTCGAGTCCTCTATTTTCCTCGATCGATCTCCAGGTAGCATGATCAGCAGTGTTTCGCGACTGCTCTCGTCGTCGCTCCTCGGAAACCGACGTGACTATTGCGTGCGCTACAGCGTCCCGTGCGCGCTCTGGTCCTCGATTTTCCTCGATCGATCTCCACGTAGCATGGTCAGCAGTATTTTGCACCTGCTGTCGTCGTCGCTCTTCGAAATTCGACCTGGCGCTTGCGTGCGCTGCAGCGTCCCGTGTGCGATCGAGTCCTCGATTTTAATCGATCGATCTCCAGGTAGCATGATCAGCAGTGTTTCGCGACTTCTCTCGTCGTCGCTCCTCGGAATCCGACCTGACCATTGCGCGTGCTGCCGCGTCCCGAGCGCGCTCGGCTCCTCGATTTTCCCCGATCGATCTCCAGGTAGCATGATCAGCAGAGTTTCGCGACTGCTCTCGTCGTCGCTCCTCGGAATCCGACCTGACCATTGCGCGCGAATTTTGTTTAAGGAGTTGCGAAGTTCTAAAAAAATAAATTATTTGTAAGTAAAACACGTCAAGCGGGTTTGGTGGGCAAAAATCAACTGAATATTCTTTATTGATAATGTTTTAAAGAAAACTTAATTTAGATTTACAGAAGTGCTTATTAGGTTTTCTTACGAATTATTCTGGTCGACATGTGTAAGATCGTTGGCCTCTAGTTAGCCTGAATTAAATAACGATCGATGAACTATGCATTTCCTGTTTACTGTGTTATATTGCTTATTTGGATTTTATATTTTCTTATAACTTATTTTGGTTGGCATGTACCAGATCGTTAACCTGTGCATTTCCTGTTTGCTGTATTACTTTAATATATTGTTTATTTAGCATTTAATGAGTTAAGCAATTCTTGTACTTTATTATTAAGAGGTGGTAAAGAAGAAATTGGGTTTTGGACATATGCGGGAAGTGAAGTGGGGTTATACGTAACTTCTCCCCCTTTTAGATAAGAATTCTCCTGAATTCTATTGTTATTGAGCTGAATTTTAATTTTCTTGTGTTTTAAAACAATGTAAGCAATTAATACAATTATTGACAAAAGTATGGTTGCATTAAAAAAATAATTTATGTCTTTATGTGTTTTTAATTTTCTTATGTTCGTCCAGTTAATCTTATTATTTTCCAATATTTTCTCAAAAGTGATTTGTTTAGTAAAATTTTGAGTTTGGTTTGATTTCTCATATAAAATTCTTTTCTTATCTAATTCGAATGAATTTGTAAAATAATTATTTTCTATACCTATTGTACAATTTGTAAAGTGTATTAGAATATTTTTTTTCATTTTAATTTTATTGCTGTTACAATTTTGATATAATGTTTCATTTTTAGCATTCTTAATTACTACGGTTTCTTCGTCTAGTTCTAATATTTGCATTTCATTTCTTTGTATCAGTTTGCAATTTTTCTTAAATACACAATTAGGGTATTCAATTGCGTTGCAATCGTTTGAAAAGTGTAAAAGTGTAAGCAGTTCCAACAACAATTTCCATACAAAATAGTTTTCAAGGCCTACAACACCCCAGCCTATGTATACAAATCTGTTGTACTTGTGTAGAAATAGGGGGTTAATAATGGGTAGGAATTTTATCTAAAATACTAAAAATATACTGAAAAGTTGGGTTTTAATGACAGAAAATATCATAGCCTTCTTTTCACAAAAATTTAAAAGTTGGCGTTATTTTGTACGTCAATTTCCTGCAACGATATTTTAAAATAGAGGGCGTTCACAATTCTCGTCTGGCAAACTTACAAAGTTTACACTTTTGCAACGCAATTGAATACCCTAAATGTTTACTTTTTCGCATTTCTTTTAATTTTTTATTTGTTTTATAGGTGTATGTTGAATTTTTATAGTTAAATATCAGTTCTGATTCCTGATCTATTTCAAAGTTTTCTTCATTAGGCATCGGTATTATCTGTTGTATTTTTACTGTTATAAAGTTTTTTGGTATTTCTATTGCGTATACTAAAAGATTATTTCTGAACATAGCCGTAGCTAACTTTATATGGTTTAGTTTGTTGAAATCGATATTGTATTTTTTTATTTCATGATCTGTTAATATGCTGGGATGTAATATATTGTATCTAGCAGAAGCAACGTTATCCTGCAAATGTTCAATCTTATTTTTTATTAACTGAATTTTTATCTGTTGGTCGTAATATAAGTTCTCCTGGTATCTGTTATTTTCGAATTTGCTAATTGCATTCAATTGTCTCTCTATTGCCTCTCTATCTGATTTAACTATTTGTTCAATGTATTTTATTGTATCATTGAAATACGTATTTATGTAAATTAGCTTGTTTCATCTGTTTCCTGCATGTTTTCTTTAAATGTAGAGATATGATTCTCAACTTCTATCCTGTCTTCATCGTCCATTGTTCCAAACAACCATTTTGCTGAACTACCTACTACAATAATTAATCCTCTTCTTTCGCGATTGTGGTTTCCATATAGGGTATACAATTTGTTTTTTTTTTTTCAGTTAGTTCCGATTGTAATATGTGTTTGTTGTCATTGTTTGTCATTTCTATGTTTTTTCCTATTTCGTTCAAAATATTGTCAATATCTTTTAAGTTTATTATATGTACTACTATATCTGTTGTGATAATTATATCTTGATTTTTCATCTCTATTTGCGCATACCCGTCCTGATCAGGTATTTCTTGAATCGTTAGTGTTCCCGCTGTTGTTGTTATTGCCATTGTCATTAGTATTGTCGTCAGCAACATAGTCGTCGTTAGTATTTTCTGTAAATTTATAAGGGCGTTTAATATTTATTGGGTCAATATTACCGAGATTTGCTTTTTTGAATTTCGGAGCTTCTTTGTGTCTGACTGCCTTGTAGTTCTTTATAAAACCCTCTTCTCGTTTTTCTTCATAATGCTGTGTGCTTTTCTAACATTTTTTGTTTAGCGCTATCTATATTTTCTTTTATTTTTGTCAATTCTATCTTATTGTTGTGGGCTTCGCTGGGGGTACATTTGATTGTGGAGTGATATCTTTCATTGTAATTTCTCACTGCTCTCTGCATAATTTGTTTTACTGACATATTCGACGCTTCCGTTTTATATGTTATTCTAAACTTTTCTGCTAGTGAATTGTGTAGTCTTTCTACATCTGAATTGCCAGTGTGACTATTCGGTTTTGTTAAGTGTAATTCTATCCCTTCTTGTCTTAGTAGTTCTTTAATCCTGAATGAATCAAATTCGTTATCAGCTATTATTTTACCTGGTTTGCCTATTTTCGTAAAATGTTCCTCCAATTGTTCTATTATAGTGATATGATTTCTATCATTTAATGGGTATACTGCTGCGAACTTTGAAAATTTATCTATGGTTAAAAAATGTGTATTTTTTATTACATATGTATCCAAGTGTATTATCTGATTTTTATCTGATGGGGTTTCCGTTTTACTGAATTTATTTTTAATAGGCTTTCTATCATATTTTATTTCTTTGCAAAAATCGCATTGATTTATAACCATTTGCACCAACTCTAACAATTTTGGAAAGTAAATCTTGTTTTTCAATTGGTTATATGTTTCCTGAATTCCTGAGTGCATACTTTCTCTTACATGATAAAACGAAATTTGTCTTACTGCTTCTGTTTCATGTTCAATATCTTGAGCTCTGAGTGAGTAGTAGGGAAAGACGGGTTCTGGGACAATTAGCATATTAATGGCCCCCGGCCCCCCCCTCATTAACGTATGCGGGTTCTGGGACAATTAGCATAATCCAATAAATTAACTGATTTTAATGGGCTTTGAAGTCATAAAAATGTCACGATCATGTCTATAAAGAGTATACTTAATTGCCCCCATCGCCCCCACATCCCCATGTGACAATATTGATCATGTATCCTTCCCCTCATTATGTGCAATTAATAGTCAGGTGAGAAAGGTGCACGTGAGAAAGGTCGCACAACCATAGTATCCAAAGGTTGTTATCTTAGAGGAACATATCCGATCATGTTGGGGAAAGGTGTGATCACGTACCCTTTTGCCTTATTATCACAGGTGTTGCTGTGCACGTGTGAAAGGTCGCACACCCAAAGTATTCAAAGATGGTTATCTTAGAGGAACATGTCCGATCATGTTGGGGAATAATGTTTCCTATGATTGTAAAACTAATTTAGAAATCAAAAGAACCCCAATAAAATAAATCTCACAAGTTAATGATTCTCAGATGTGGAATATTTTCAAATACACATTTTTGTTTCCGCCTCCGTGCTTCCTTTTTGTAATCCGAAATTCGATGGCATACACAAGTATCAACTCCCTCAGTGGCTGCATCATTGCTCCACACGCAGGTGTCCATATGATTTCCATGAATAGATGTTTTTATATTACCTCGTTCACATTCAAAGAGTTTTGATTGTATGAACTGGAGCCGTACATAGTGTGCATTGAACAGAATTCCGTCAAATACATTCAAAAAGTTATTTATTTTAACTGAATGCATGTTGTCTATCTAAGTCAACAATCTCGTCTTACCCTTTTAAATATGCTTACACGATTTATAAGGAAATTTCTACAGGTTTTCATCTTCTTCTTTTACCCAAAAATATGCATTCTCGAAATTCAACAAATGAAAATCTTTGGTTTTTTCTCTTCTTTTACCCAAAAATGTGCATTCTCGAAATTCAACAAATGAAAATCTTTGTTTTTTCCCAAACTCGAAATGATTTTTTCCAAACTGTCCCCTATTGGCTACCTGAGTATGATGGTGTGTCTAAAAAATGATCTTTCCTTTCCCACCTGCAGCAAAGTATGTGCGACCTCTTCTAACCAACACTCTCCTTTATTCTATGATTTTGTGTCTCCTTTATCGATTTGATGGTGTCCTATTGGTTACACTTGTATCAAATATTTTTCAAAATCAATACTTCTCATCTCTTCTAACCAATGAACAGTCGATGTAACCTACTAGAATTGCCTATATTGTTTTCGAATTTAAAAAAATCTTAAGTATGCATCTCTCATCTTCAATATTATCGTTCACGCCCACTTCAAACACTATAAATGATCGAGGACAATAGTTAGTCTTCCAAAAATAGTCTTGAAGTGGGATACTCTGCTACGTCAAACACAACTTAAGTAAAAAGTGAAAAAGTGATCGTGAAAAAAGAATTTTAACAAAACGAATAAAATAAAATGAATAACCAAAATCAGTTTTGCCAATCCTGCAAGTGTTTCTTGCTAAAGAATAAGTGGGCAAATCATGTCCGTTCGGAGTTGCATTAGCGAAATGCAACTCAACCCCTTGACGGAAGAGTTAAAAAAATTTCTGAGGGATTCAAGGGAAGAATACTACATTACATGTATGTAAACGATGGATCGGACTTGATCTTACCTGAGAGTTTCTTGAGTGAAGCTGGATTGTCCCTGCTACCTCATCTCAGCATTCTGTTAGAAAGTTATACTTCAGCAAAAGTCAACTTTGAACTGTTTGCAGAGTATATACTTTTTAAAGATGAATCTGAAGAAGTTGATATGAAAAGTTTTCAAAGTAAAATGACGATCATGAACAAAGATTCTGACTTAGAAAATATCTTCCATGAACATACCATGGAAATAATTTCAAAAACACAAGAATTTCAAGAGAGAGATAGTGGATGGTCTCTTATAAAATTGATTCGCTTGGAAATGAATGTGAATCATTATACACCGATGGCTGGTTCATCTTTCATACCACTACCTCGTTTCCTTTTAACGAAAAAAGCAATAGTTAACGTTTGTAACGAAAATGACCACTATTGTTTTAAATGGGCTTTGATTTCTGCCTTGAAAATTGTTAACAGACCGCAAAGATGTTCGGCATATAATATTGATATATCGCTGGAGATAATTCGTATAAGTGATGAAATAATATTAGATTTCACAGGGTTGACTTTCCCCCTTGAAATAAAATGTATAAAAAATTTTTTAAAGAAGAATACTCATATGAGTTTAAACGTATTCGGATATAATGAAGAGACGAGGGAAATAATTGGACCACTTTTTCAATCGGAAGTGGAAAAGCCTCTTCATATCAATATGATGTTTTTGGAAGAAGGTGGAAATGGACATTACATGTACATTACAAATATTTCAAGGTAAATTCTTTTATTCATTTTTATCTCTTTTAAGCAATTAAATAATTTGTATATATTTCTCTTTCAAAGACTAATGACTGCTCAGAGAGGAAATCAGAAGAGGGCGCAATATTTCTGCAATGTGTGTTTAAATTTTTCCAAAACTGAGGAAGCTGCATTGAAACACAAAACGCTCTGCAGTAAAAAGGTCTCAAAGATGCCACACCCCCAGAATAATACATTGGAATTTACCCAGGTTCAACATCAGCTGCAAGTTCCATTCGTTGACTACGCGGATTTTGAATGCATTCTGGAACCGAAAAATCTTGAAGTGAGCCCTAAATTATTTAATATTAATGAACATATTCCAATATCATATGCGTATTATATAAAGTGTGCTTTTGATTCTAGACTAGATAAATTTGTTTTAGAAACAGGAAAAAATTCGGAAGTAAGTTTTGTAGATTCATTGATAAAAAATCTAACTAAATTGAGTGATGACTACTTAAATAAAATAGTTCCTATGAGAATGACTTTGGATGACCAGAAAATATTTGATAATTCATTGAATTGTTCTATTTGTCAGAAAGATTTAGGGACTGATAGGGTTAGAGATCATTGTCATTTCACAGGTCGCTTTAGAGGTGCAGCCCACTCTAAGTGTAACTTGGATTATAAAGTTAACAAATTCATACCAGTATTTTTTCATAATTTTTCAAAATACGACTGTCATTTGTTTATTCAAGAGTTGGGAAAGATTCCCGGTGAAATTTTCGTAATACCAATAAATAAGGAAAACTATATTTCTGTCTCAAAGAAAATAAAAAGTTTAAGTGGAAATAGTTTTGAAATTCGTTTTCTCGATACATATAGATTTATGCCATCAAGTTTAGATTCCCTAGCTTCTAATTTAGTTGACGATCAATTGAACACTGTAAAATCGTTTTTCAGTAATGATATAGAATTTCGACTAATGCGTAAGAAGGGTATATTTCCCTATGAATATTTAGATTCCGCCAGTAGACTCGAGGAAACTTCCCTCCCACCAAGGGAAGCATTCTATAGTAATTTAACGGAAAGGGAATGCTCTCAGGAAGATTATGATCAAGCTCTTAAAGTTTGGTCGCATTTCTCTTGTTCCACTCTTAAAGATTATTTATAATTATATTTAAAAACAGATGTATTTCATTTAACCGACATTTTTGAAAACTTCCGAAAAATTTGTATGCAAATTTATTCACTTGACCCAGCTCAGTATTTTACGACACCAGGTCTATCTTGGGAGGCAATGTTGAAATCTACAAATATTCAACTTGAATTGCTGACAGATATAGATATGTATAGATTTATTCAAAGTAGCATTCGAGGTGGTTTAGTTCAATGTTGTCATAGATATACAAAAGCAAATAACAAATATTTGTCAGATTATGATTCCTCGAAGGAGTCTTCATTTTTAATGTATGTAGATGCGAATAACTTGTATGGTTGGGCAATGTCACAACCTTTACCATATAAAGATTTTAAGTGGATGTCTACCACAGACATAGACAATTTTGATATTAATAATATTCCAATCGATAGCAAATACGGTTATTTTTTGGAAGTGGAATTAATATATCCATACCGTTTACATGATCTTCATAATGATCTTCCATTTTGTTCGTCAAATTGTCTG